GTATCAATAATTCCCTTTATCAAAATAGATTACTAAGATATTATGTATTATTTATTTATGTATCAATGTTTTAAGTATGTGAGGTATTCTATAAAATTAGGGTATGATGAGGCTGACATATCCTTATAGGATAAAAGCCTCTAAATTTAAAAAGATAAAAAAAAATCACTCACATGTGTTTTACCGCGTACAATATCGTGTATGCGCTATTGTACGCGGAATTACCATTCCATTATCGTTCAATTATAAAAGAAGTAATGGGATAGCTAGATCTTATTATTAACAATTCTTTTCCCGCAATGATGCATAGTTTACTATTTAACGAATACAATAAGGTTTATTTATATAAAAGTTTATGCATTTTATTTTATGATGTAAATAAAAATAGTCATTTAGTATGAGATTATTTTTATTAATTTAGTTTTACAAGATACCATAATTATCTCGGCCGTTAGTCGTCCACTGCTGGATATAGGCCTCCCTTATAGACTGCCATAAAGAATGATCCTGAATCATCTGCGTCCACTGACTCCCTGCAATGCTATTGAGATCGTCACTCCATTTAGTGGGTTTTACACTATGTTTACCTATGTAAACTTGTCGGTTCTTCGAGCCCATTGCCACTTTAGCTTATTTATTCTTCGGATAATGTCGGTACCTTTGGTTCTTTTGCAGATATCATAGTTTCTTGGTTATAGATTTTGTTACGCAAAGAAATTCCGAGTATAACCCTGTCCGTAACGTTTCGATTCTATAAGTCATCACTGGCAACTCGCACTGGTTGGAAATCTTCGTTTTCAAACTGTGAGGTATTCTGGATGAGAAGTTTTGTCGTAATTTCCCAAACACTGCCCAGTCGAGTTGGATTCGTGGGTTGACTTCTCGGTCGAAGTTGGACTTACTTAGTCCGACAAGTTATCGGCAACTTAGAACGTAGTATTCTCAATCATGACCAGTATAGGTGTAATATAGACGTTAGATATTTTAGTTGAGAACTATTGAGGTCATTAAACATAGTATTTAAGACCTCCAGGGATTCCGTCATAATTACTATTATTATCAACAAATCGAAAATATTCGCCGTTGATGTTTATAATAATAATAATAATAAATCTAAATAACCCATAGTTTACAATCATAGCGATGATAATTTAATTATAATTAATTATAAATTTTATATTATTATATTATACGTACAAACTATTATTATATTATTAAATTATATATTAATTAATAAAATACCAATTTAAATAATTTCATTATAAAATCTTTTGTCGTCAGGTATGCAGTCAGGAATACAGTCTTTACAATAGGATTACTTATTGTCATTAATCTTTAATGAAATTTTGTCTTACATTTACGTAAAATAGCAAAAAATTATTTACCCTGTTCTTTGCGAACATGCCAGACACACTACATCGTATTGGCAAGTTGAGTATCGCTCGGAATGCGTTATTGTATTGTACACGCAGTGTCTGATAAGCTCTCTTTGTATAACTATACCATAATGGACTGGTGTAGAAATCCTGACAATAGGACTTAAACAATATCAATTTGACTAGCTTCGAACAGTGGTTAAATCGTCTAGATAGCATATTGCTTCTACATGCAATGTTACGCCTTTGTCTCTCCAGATCACTATCATCTCTCAGATCTTCTGTTAACATATTTTCGAGATATTTAAATTTACTAACTATTTTTCAAGTATTCTCACACCATATCATATTTATACGATATCTTTTCCAGTCTAGAAGTTTGAAAAACACCTTCCAATGCAGCTGCGAAGAGTTTTGGGGGATATAACGTCACCCTGTCTTACACCTTTCACTGGGTAGTATTTCGTATACTTGTTCTATAGACGGATAGACATAGTAGTCTTCCTGTACATACATTTCGCTTCGATATACCTATAGTCAATCTAGCACCGCTGGAGGGACTATAGTACCGCCCATGTCTTCACCGAATCAAAGGCTACAAACGCCAGACATAGTGGTAGAATATACCCTTCGGTCTTCTGGATAAATTGCCGTACATACCCATGTATGTGGTCTATGGTATTAAAGCCCTTTCGAAAGCTAGCTTATTCGGGTGGTGGAAAGTCAGCGAGTTTGCGCGTAAGATGTAAGACGAAGATAAGATACCGAGTACATTAAAATTACATAAAAACCAAGCGGCCTCTCGAAAATTACGAAGTTAATCTGAAATATATGTTCGGATCTGGAAGATATTTGATTGAACTTTACTTTCTTAAATTCAAAACGGGATTTGAGAGAGCGAAGTTCAGAATTTATAACATACTTCGTCATATCGAACTTGACGTGTTCCCTTCTGGGAAGTACATGGTTAATGCTTGGTGAATTTATCACGATTTAAATAAGGATCCCTTTATAACTTTTGATTTTGGTATGAAACCTTTTAAATTTGAAACAACGTACGGGTATGTGGTAAGGGCAAAGAATTCAAAGTCATTAGCGGTACGTAAAATTACGAATCTACTATGCTATATGAGGACAGAAATTTCGTTAAAAAATTTTAAAAACAGCAAAAAATATTGTTAGTCACCAGAGGGAGACTTTGTACAAAAGTCGATTGTTTGGGTACCTCTGTCCCATTCGTGTTTCAACCGTGAAGCAGTTGTGTTTGCATGGCTGTGTTTCGATTTGAAGGGTGGGATATGGCGTGAATTTACTGGGTATAGAGGAATAACACCTGAGTCCTCAGGAATGGCAACGCATGGGGGGTATCATGGGCAAAACAGTATACTCTGTTATGCCCAGGGTACTACTCATGTCTATAGGCGACGGTTACCACTTTCCATCAGGTGGGCCGTCAGCTTGTTTGCCATTCTAAGTTGTATAAAAAAAAATAGTTACGTAGTGGGCAGTTATCAGTCGTCGCCCCTGAACATTGGTCAGCCCTATAAGGAGGATTTTGCCAGTAATTGTCACACTTGGCAGACAAGTTGGCAATCGCAGTTAGGCTTTGATGATGTTTTAAGATGGACGCTGCTGTTAATTACATACTTATTGTTAATTAATTATATCGTAAAAAATTACAATGATCCTCTAAATATCGCATCTATCTGTGTGCATATTATCTATACACTTAGAGAAATTTCAAAATTCAAAATTTCAAGAATATCTTTTGCTTCACTATCTTTTAGTGGTAGTTATATATTTTCAACTCAAAAAGAGGGTTCTCAATTCGGGTGTATTTTTTTTTTATTTGTTACCTCATTACTTCGTCAGTTATAAACCGGTTTAATTTTTTTTTGTCCTCTGAAAGTCTATTACTATATAGATTGGTTCCATAGAAATTTTATCAAACTCGACTCAATACTCTAATTTTGAAATCAAAACAACTGGGTTTTGCCACAACTGATAGCGATTTTTTTGTGGTACACAATCTTTAATTATCTTGTTGCTGCCTTTGTTTGTTTATGTCATATTTTGTAGCTTTAAACACATTATTTATTTATTCCAAACATTTTGAGTCGCAGTATTAACTTTTTTTTTGTGTAAGATACACGAAAAAGAAGTTGAGATTTTGTTCTTTTCAGCAAGTGTATTGCAATAATATATTGGTAACCCTACAAAAATAAATAAACTAAACGTACTGTGTTTGTATGGTTGGTTCAATATTTTTTATCGTATTTCAACTCATGTTTTTATAGTGAATATATAGTGAAAATGTTCAGTTTCGCCGATAGAATGCTCTCTTCAATAGATGCTAACGAATGCTATTTCATTCTGTATATTTGTATGAGTTACATCAGCTCCCCTATTCTTATTGAAAGTTGTAGGTGATTGCGTAAACATCATAGACATATATTTTATTTATCTATGTCAGATTACATCTTTTCCCTTATCTGTATATGATGAATAATGCCACAGATTAAATAGTAGTTACTGTTAATTCATCTATATCCGTCATATTATGCAATTTTGGCACTTAATGTAACGTCATAAGGTTGAATTAACATTAAAAGAAAAGTTTCTGTCAGGACTCTATCACCATGCTTTTGAGTAGGGGCACATGATATATAGCAATATCTATATATTTTAGTTGCAATATCTATATACGGGCCCAATAACGAATATGTTAAAAGTCTGTTATCCAAAAAGTAATATTGGATAACAGACTTTTAACATATTCGAAGATAGATATCCGACCGATATGGGCGATATCGAAATAGATGATGACCTTTTTTCCACCATCAATGTCCAGAGGAATCTTATATATAGATATCGGATCGATATCCATATTACTAATGCCTACAGTCTAATATATTTTGCTGCAAGATATCAATAGGATCGATTTTGAAGTGCTGTTCGAAACCTGTATTTTAAATTAATATTTTAATGAACAAATTAACGATTGGTCTTTCAATAGTCTTAATTTGGAGTTTGCAATTTATCTTATCTTATACCTTATCTTATTTTTCGCATATGGGGTCAGCTAAGCCGATGCACGTCGACCCATACGGATCTTTTGTGCTTCCCCCTGCCTTATACCATCATTTCATAGATCCTATTTGTTACCCTAACGATATCCCGCGGTTTAAGATATCTGTAGTCCAAAATGTTTGTAGTTTAATTCATTACATTAGATTATAATCTTATCTTTTTTTTTTTTTTTTGATACTTTAAATAGCAAATAAGCTGACGGCTCATATGATGGAAAAAGTCTATAGATATGAACAACAGTATGGACACCACATAATACATATGATTACTGTTAGAAAAAATTCCATTTACTATTTAATCGACTTCAAAAAAGGAGGAAGTTCTCTGTTTCATTGTATATTTTTTTTTTGTAAAAAATTATTAAAATTTAATTAACATTAATCAACTTTTTAATACTATAATATGTAAAATAATTTTTATTAATAAATATTATCCTTATTCCTTATAAAATGAGTAATTTTATTCATCACTTTATCACAAAGCTTTTCCAGTTATTTTCTGCAAAATGTTGCCGGCTTGGGGAGTTCCCTGCACCAAGCAGACTATGGAGTACAGAAAACAGTTAGCCGTTATTATCTATACGTGTTCAACAAAACACACTCATTTTCAGTTGTATGCGCAACGTAATAAGGTTGATAATAAATGCAAATAAATATATTGACTGCAAAGACTGGCCGTATATAAAAAGGTAATGCTTTTTAAACGTATCATCATTCAACAGCATCGTTCCGTGATCGTTCTTCGAACGTTCATTTTTAATTCAAATTTCAAATATCGAATTTCGAAAATGGATTTCTCTAAAATTTTCTTCTTCGTATTTGCCTGCATCGTAGCGCTGTCAACGGTTTCGGGTGCACCCAGCCCTAAATGGAAGTTTTTCAAAAAGATTGTAAGTACATTCTTAATTTTTTTTTTTTTTTATCTACGTAGTGAAAATAAGAATACTTTCTTTTCCATTATTTTTTTATATGCATACAGCTAATTGATAAAAAATAATTAATTTCATTTCTATTATATTAACGAGTATATGAATTCCAAAACGTTACATAACAAAACTTTCTAAAGTTTCAAGCGTTTTTGCTATGGGCTTTGTATTAAAATCTGAATTCGTTAGAAATTTATAATACCTGTAACAAGTATTATTATTTACATATCATGGGTTGTTGCCAACGAAAATGGTCGTTGTGATGTCTAGGTTAGAAATAAAATATCTTTGTTTAAAACAATAATATTCATAATGTAGGTATATAGTTGCCAAAGAGTGCTTGTTTGCTAAATCGCTTTCACTGACTATTATTTGTAATTAGAGTAGGCGATATTTAAATTTGAGCCGTATAGGTCCCGGTATAGAATAGGCCAAACAACGGTTACCAACCCACCTGCTAAGCGTGGCAACTACTCTAATTATTATATATTACTTTTGTTCTAAATGTTGTTTTCAATAATAATTTATTAATTTTATTTTATTTCAGGAGCGCGTTGGTCAGAATATAAGAGATGGAATCATAAAAGCTGGTCCAGCAGTACAAGTAGTAGGACAAGCAGCCACGATATATAAAGGAAAATAGATTTTATTTCTTAGATTTTAAGACTTAAATTATCACTTATTAGTTATAAGTCAGAGACTGCCATTACTTAAATTAAATTTATCAAAATAAATAATTATTTTACATAATCATTGACTTTTAATTTTTACAAATACAAATTGTAAAATTCTCTGAAATGGGTAAAGTATATATATTTTTAATTATATAAGTAGGTATTTTTTCATAAATTAATTGACAAATATTTTTAAAAAAAGAACTAAATATCTTTTTCGGTAAATAGTTACGTTGGTATTAAGATTTTTCATTTAATTAATATAATTGGTTTTTCAATTTCTCTAAATATAAACCGGCGTACGAAGTAGCGGGAAAAATACTAGTTTATAATACATATAAGTTTCACGGCCGCCTTATCTCAGACGACTTGTGGCTTTATCCTTTGATTCTTTGTAACTTTGTTATAGATTAAACTTGAATTTGACCTTAGGGTATAGATTGAGGATCTGTGTAGCGCTGTGGTTAGCACGTTGCTTTGCGTGAGTGAGATCCTGGCTTCGATACCCGGTCGAGTTAATTTAGGAAATGAGCATTTCAAAATTCGGCTTGGGTCTAGGTGTTATGAGTTGTGCCCCAGATTGCCCGGCTCCTCGTAACACAAAATATCCTACCTTGCAGACGAGGTGATTGATGTAATTTTGTGTCATTTATTAATATCAAAAGTATCTGTGATAAGATTCAATATTTATTGTTTTTTTAAATGTAGATCGTGGTCATTGTTAGTAACATTGTACTTATTTTAGTAGTAAATGCACCGCCTACTTAATTTTCCCGTTGCCTCATGGCTGACTGGTAGAAGACGCCATAAAGTGTTAAGTCCGCCCTATGTACATTTATATAATTGTATATTAAAGTTTAAAAAAAATATTGACTAATTTTATTGATTGTTGAATGAAATTAAAATAAAACAATTTAATATTAATTCTTATTTATATTTAAGATTATTAAATAAATCAAAATAAAAAAAATAATTTCAATAAAAGTAATTGCAAATTACATAAAATTAAATTACCTCATATATAAGCATAGATAGATACTCTTTATTGTTTTCTCTAATTTTTTTTATGCTACTTACAATGATAAACAAGCTGATGGCCCACTTGATGAAGAGTAGTAACCTATAGACATGAGACCATGGACATAACAGTGTATATTATTTCGCCCATGATACCCCCCATGCGTTGCCATTCCTGAGGACTCGGACGTTATTCCTCTGTACGCTCTAAGTAAATTCACTGTCACCTTTAAAGCGAAACACAGCCATGCAAATACAATTCCTTCACGGTAAAAATACGAGTGGGACAGAGGTGCCCAAGCAAACGACTTTTGTACAAGGTCTCCCTCTGGTATATATAAGATTACAATATAATATTAAATAATACAATAAAATAATAATAGTAACCTTATTATAAATACAAATAATTACAAGGAAATATTACACTAAGAAAATAATATATCTTAATCAAGCGTAATTATTCTTCAAAAATGGCAACACATGAGGTATTACAGTATATTCTGTGATGTTAAAGGTGCTATTTATGACTATAGACGACGATTACGACTTTACAACAGATAGACCACTAGTTTATTTGCCATCTTGCATAACAAAAGTGTTTATGACATTGCGAGACAATTAAAGTTAAAACTATATGTGTATATGTTAATCCGAAAACAAATAGCGCCTGTACAAAGTGTAATTGCATTGTTGTTTAAAAGCAAGATTCCCCAAAACTGTTTGGAGATAAGTAAAAATGAATATAAATTTGTTTAGTTTTTGTCTGTAACTTTGTATGTTTGTTTATAACACTTTATTGTATTTATTTATTTAAGTGTAACCAATAAAACATACATTTATATCTACTTCAATTACATGATAACATGGTTATATTATAAAAAGTTGGTTAATTAAAGACCGTCTCAACACACTATATATATATATATATATAGCAGTACTAGCATAGCAGTGAATTTACTGGGTACAGAGGAATAACACCTGAATCCTCAGAAATGGCAACGCATGGGGTGGTATTATAGGCGAAACAGTACATTCATGCCCATGGTACTGCTTATGTCTGCAGGCGATGGTTACCACTTTCCATCAGGTGGGCCGTCAGCTTGTTTGTCATTCTAAGTTTCATTTACTGATGACTACATTACTGACTAAAAGATTCATTTACTGTGTAACAATTTTCGGAATTGCCACTACTTAGAAGTAAAATTAAAATCTAATGCTTATATCTGTAATAAATTAAATTTAACAATCGACTCTTTAGATTATAATGATAAATACTTACCATTTTTAAAACACAGTAATAAATGCTTGATGCCATCAGAAAATCAAGTCAAAAAAATAATACATAATACAAATTCACTTGATGAGTTAAGACGTTCTAGAACTACAGTACAGACTACTTTATTAGATTATTTCCCAAGGTCTTTATATACCCGTAAAGCTAAATTAAATAAATATCCTGCATCAGAGGTGACACGTACAGATATTTTACAAATTGACGAGAATAGTTACGTTGATGGTGCTAGGTTAACCCTGACACCACGACTGCGCAATACATCGGAAGTTCGTAATGATAAGACTTTTTTTCGAGATTAATAGTGACAATGAAAATAATATTGTAATAATGCACCAAAATATTGCTGGTATATTAAATAAACAAGAAATATTTCAAATAACTCTAGATGAATTGAAAACAAATGGCACATCTGTAGAAGTTATATGCCTTAGTGAAACTTTTCTAAAGTCCAATGATGAAAAAAACTTACACATACAGGGTTATTGTTTAGCAGATTTTTATTCCAGACCAAATCAACGACGAGGTGGTGTATGCATACTATGTAAAGACCATTACAGTTTTAACAAAATATCCATGCTTTCTGAATATGCTACTGAACGCACTTTTGAGTGTTGTGGTATTAGTATTCCACAAATGAAGTTCTTTATTATATGTATATACAGAATTCCTAAATCTGACCCGCAGTTATTTTTGAATAAACTCGAAACTTTATTAGACAAACTACGATACAAAAAAAATTATAAAATTATAATAGCAGGAGACTTTAATATAAACATTTTAAAAGATAGCAATATTCAGACTGATTATATAAGAATAATCCAAAATTATGGATTTACAATACATATCAATGAACCAACAAGACAACATGCTTGTCTCGATCAAATCATTAGTAATGTTTTCAATGTTATAGGACATACACACAAGGTAGGATTATCAGATCATGAGACATGCCAAACGATCCATGTTCCAATTCTAAAAGAACAAAAGCCGAAGAAGATGTGGTTTAAATTTAAGCGTGACCATAACGAAGACAATATGAATAAATTTGTGCAATGTTTGAGTGGTTTCTCTTGGATGGAGGTTTTTGAAGCAACTAAATTAAATGACGCATTTAATTTTTTTTACGAAAATCTTATTCTTTTTTATAAATTATGCTTTCCTATGTGTAAAATAAAAATAACAAGCAAATCTAAGAATTCTGAATGGATTACGAAGGGATTAAGAAAATCATGTGTCACAAAAAGAAAATTGCGGTTCAAATATTACAAGAAGAAAAATCAAGAAAGTAGGACCCAGTATCGTAAATATGCTGAATCTTTAAAGCAATGTATATATGTAGCACAAAAACTAAATAATAAAAAATATCTAACTAAAGCAAAGAATATAAATAAGGCCACTTGGAACCTTATAAACAAACAAGATCAACTTTATAGGCGAGATAAATATATACATCGACTATATCATGACAATAAGATTATAACCAATTGTAATGACATATGTAACATTTTTAATGACTTTTATATAAATATAGTAAAAAATTCATAATGACAAAATAAAACCGACTAAACTTACTCAAATAAATTATCAGAAAAACAGTATGTTTCTATCACCAACAACATGCGATGAAATATATAAAATCATCATATCTTTAAATAATACAGAATCCGTTGGATATGATGAGTTTCCAACAAAGTTATTAAAAACCTGTGCACATATAATATCTCCAATTTTAAGTTATTTAATAAACTTATCTTTCATAGAAGGGACATTTCCAGATTTACTTAAAATTTCAGTAATAAAACCAATTTATAAGAAATATGACAAACAGTTAGTAGATAATTACAGACCTATTTCCTTGATACCAATAATAGCAAAGGTGTTTGAAAAGGCAATATATACAAGAATCGTTGCTTTTCTAGACAAATTCAAAATTTTAAAAGATGACCAACATGGTTTTCGTAAAGGAAAATCTACTTCTTTAGCTGCATTTAAGCTTATAAAGACAATAACTGAAAATATTGACAAGAACATTGACACAGTTGCAGTTTTCTTTGATATGAGCAAAGCATTTGATTGTGTATCCCATGACATTCTTCTCAAAAAATGTGAAAAATATGGTCTACGAGGACTTGTATTACAATGGCTAACTAGTTACCTAGAAAATCGCCGTCAATATGTCGAAATTAGTGGAATTAATGATCATGCTGAAGAAATACATTATAAATCCAAAACCTCTGTTAATGATGTGGGAGTTCCCCAAGGAACAATTTTAGGACCCCTGTTATTTATAATATATATAAATGACCTACCAAATGTAACTAAACACCAATGCACCTTATTTGCGGACGATTTTTCAGTAGTAATATCACAAACTCCACAAACAGATTTCAATACTGATATCTGTGATACTATTGCTAATGTTGTGGAATGGCTCGACTCAAATTGCTTAGAAATTAATATTGAAAAAACGAAATATATGAGATTTTATAATAAAAGACCAAAAAGTGACCAATTAATAATTACAATTCGTAAAAAATTAATAAATGAAATAAAAGAAATTTCATTTCTTGGTATTACTATTGATAACCAATGCTCGTGGAAAAACCACGTAATAAAAATATGTAATAAATTAAACAGATTTGTCTATGCTCTCTGGAAATTAACCAAATTAGTAGATCAAAAAGCAGCAGTCATGGCATATCATGGACATGTGGCATCAAACCTTAAATATGGTATACTATTATGGGGAAATTCACTGTAAATAT